ATCCATCCATCCATCCATCCATCCATCCATCCATCCATCCATCCATCCATCCATCTTTGCTACAAAGGTGCCAACTGTTTTTAAAGAATGCCATATGATTTAATTAGTACTTGATTGGTCCATTGGATTCAAGGTTGTCCAACTCTAAGAAGACTAGGTGGCTTAGAGGATTTAATTTAAAAAAAAAAACTTTATAATTTTCTTTATAAAAATGAGATTAGATATTACCTTACTAATATCTAGAAATAAGAACTACAAAGGGAAACTCAATCTATGGGAAAAGAAGGGCAACCCAATTGTAAGGGATGTAATCAGTGGAAATATTGTTAAAATCAAAGAGTAGTAAGACAATTAAAATTTAAATAATCAGAAGAAAAAAAGCTAGAAAGGTATTTGGAACAGGAGGACAGGAAAAATGTGAAAGAAAGCTTTTTTGATTATGCAGAATATTTTAATATTGGTTCTGTTTTTATAGTATAAATCTTAGAAAGATTTTGAAATACTCTTAAGACTAGAAGATAGCAAATGGATGCAAATTCTTATGAATAGGTTTTAGCCTTCATACTGGTACCATATTGGACTTCATACTTCTGCTGTTTCATTTGAATTTAATATGGCCATAAAATGTATTAAGCTTCCCAGATATAAAATAAAAAACAGGACATCGGATTAAACTAAAACCATACATTCATAAACCTCTCTGTGTTACTATTAGCTATTACGCTAATGGTTATTTGAAGTACTTTGAACATGGAAATTGCAGGAAAAATTAGCATCTAATTTCTACAATAACATGAGTGACATTGTAGTATCTCTGTTTCTAATAATGTTTATCCTGCTGGCTTTTTAAATTACTCTAAGAAGTTTAAATGGAAGCTGGTTCATGAATAGGAATGAATGAAATAGTAAAATCACACTTTATTTTGCCAAAAAGCCTGCCACACAGAAAGTATTTCAGCAGAAAGCCTTTAACAGTTTTTTTTTTAAACCACCAGAAAGAAACTCCCAGAGACAGTTGCATAAAGTATTATCCGGCTGATAGCTTTGCTACTCCTGTGTAAAAATTCTTTAGGCAACAGTAATCTTTTGAAAGCAGATAAGATGTTAAAGCAAGACGGTATTCTTAGGAGATGTGGTTGTTCCTATTTCTCCCTCTTTCTGATGCTGTTTGTGTTGGCTAGTGGATTCGGAGCAAACATGGCTGGGGAATNTGATTTATAAAGTAGGGAAGTCAATTAGATTAAAAAAAGGAAAGCTGGAACGCCCACAAGTGGGCGGTAGGGACCAGGTTGACTACCACTGGCCCTACGGTATGATAGGTGTGCATGAATGTGTATGCATAAAGATAATACTGTAAGTCAGTGGTTTTTCTAAGCTACATATCTGCAAGCATATTAAAAACACCAGGCTTCAGTATAGGAAATTATTTTTATTACTTCCAAGAATGTTCTTTCTTTTTGTTTCTCAAGTTGTGGAGCGTTTGCGATGTTTCCACAAATTATTAAAAACTGAAAAACCTCGGGTGTTTGTATAAATGATCTCTAATGCTAGATTCAATGGACAGCCCTTTAGTTGTTTCCTTTTTATCGAAAGATTAATTAATGAATGAGAGGTAGGATTTTTGTATCTCTCCAAATGGCTGAGAGGAATTGAAGCATAGTATATCTACAGTAGATGCATGTTTGAGAAGGCTGCTATATTAAAACCAGGAAGCTCTTAAGTGCTCCTTTTGGTCCAGCCAATATTAATTATTCACACAAAACAGATTCTTTTTTCTTTATTACCACAAAACCAGAGTGTTGTTTTTGGAACAGTCAAATACACACATTGGCATTTTATCTGTTGCTTTTTTTCAATTTAAAGAGATATCCTTTATTTAAAGAAAAGCAGACTTCTCAATTCTTTGTGCTTCAGTTTTTGATTCATCATAAACATTTATGCAGGAGTTTTTATTGGAACATACAGTTTGGTCAAAACGATGCCACAAATGGATCTCAAAATTGTTTTGTGTGTGCCTGCAGACCTCTGCTTTATTCATAGATTGCGAAGATGATTTCATTCATTAATACATTTTAATGTTTTATATACTTTTCCAGCAAGTTCTGTATTAAGCTTAATTTATGAAGACTTAAATATAAACAGCCTTCCTTCCCTCTGGCTATTTTCTTGCATTCTTTGGTAAAGAAACACAAGATGAGAGAATATATGAGCTACTGTAAGGATGACAGTATGCTCTCTTCTCCTTTTCAAGGGCTTTGAAACTCCTCAAAAAGAGCTTGACACAAAATAATCTCATTCACTCCTCTTAATTCCGGGGGCCAGAGACTAATAAAGCAGAACAGATGTCATCCATCTGTGGCACATCTGTCTTCTGTTTTATGCCAATGTGTAAATTATAATTCCATGGTAGTCTGTGATTGACTAAAGTTAAATGCTATAATAATAAATATTACAATATAATGTTTCCAGTAGGAGGACATGGAAATTTAAGGTTCATCACACAGAAAACGGTGTCCTGGCTGCTTTATTCACAGATGGGTTAGGGGAAACTGTTGATTTTATTCATTTATTTTTTTAAGTCAAACATATTTGCCTTTACTGTGGTATGAAAGAATAGAATTTCACTGATACAAAATCCATTAAAAGTAATATACGACATCTAGGGTAGAGCAGTAAAAAAAAATATTGTAAGCAAACCAAAGTCTAACCCTTTGAATTAATTGAAGTGATAGGAAACAATGAAAATAATATTGTCAAGTAATATGTAGATTAGTGAAATACCACAGAAGTTCAACACAATTGTGTTTGTTTTCTAAAAGGGATTTTTTTTTGAAATGTTGTAAAAATGTAGCTGAAAGAGAAATAAAGGTACAAATTACCTAAAACCAACCTNCCCTAAAACTCTCTTGTCATCCTTTTTGAAAGAGAAAGTTGTTTTAGAATTGTGAAGAACACAGCAACCTTTAAAAATAATATTATATTCAATTATATTAAAAGAGATGGAATTTATTTGTATCCCATGTAGAAACAATGCTTTCTCTGCAAATTTGTTGTCTCTATAATTTGTTTAACATATATTTATGATTACAAGCGTTGCTACTTTTTGGTTCTCTCCTATTTTGGGGTATCAGCTTCTGTTTTTATGCTGTAAAACGGTATAATTTATCAAAGCAAGGTTGCATTTGTTAATGTCATCTTTTATCAATCAAGCCATCAAGCCGTCTGCAATGCATATAGCGTGTATTGGTCGAATTAACGCGATCAAAATAAATACTATTTCCAGGGTTTTTTATCTCTTGCAGTTTGGTCTACCAGAACTCAATTTGTTTATCTTTAGCTTCATAGTATCATTTGGTTAAAAAGGAATATTTCAAGGGTAATTAAAAACACACTTTCTTCTGGAGAGTTGTAAATCAAGTTATATTTTGCCTATTCTGCATTTGCTGACTCTGTAAACCGCTTAGAGAGAGCTGTAAAGCACTATGAAGCGGTATATAAATCCAAGTGCGATTGCTATTCATGTAAGATGAAAGAGGTGGGAGGAAATGACAGGAGCTTTTAGAGATTTGTATAGGAATTGTACTGATATGTTGAGAGGTGTGCACAAATGTTCGTGCCAAGAAAAATGACTGAAAAGGGAAGTAATAAACTTGGAGAAGGTTGAAAAATGACAAGCCTGCTCTTGTACAGGACTTAAGTAGACAAATGCTAAAATATGGATTTGATTTGCTTATGTGGTGATTGTTACTGTGTGGATAGAGGTTTAGCGAGTCTTTTTGATGATAAAAGTGTGTGATTGGAGATGTGAAGGCTTGTATAGCTTTGAATGCAGATGATGTTGTGGCGGAAAATTCAATTTGCAGCAAATGTTGGATAGATGGTGTGATTCAGGGACGAATATGGATTGAAATTTAATCTAGCACAGACCAAATTGGTGCCATGTCATGAAAAATGAAAGATGAAAGGAATGATTGGAAGGTTATGGATGCTATAAATGGTGGAAAAGTATTGTCTGGAATGAGTTTGTGCACCTTGGGAAAATGTTTACTCCGAATGAAAAAGGGAATGGAGAATTTTTACATGTTATTGTTGTAGTTGTGGTAGTGACCACTGCACACTCTATTTCAGAAAACGAATATTGAAAGAAGTACAGGTAGTCTTTGACTTGCGACCATAATTGAACTTAACATTTATGTTTCTAAGTGTGAGTTTGGTCCCACATTACTACTTTTCTGGCCATGTTGGTTAAGGGAATCACTGCAGTTGTTANCCCCCTAGAGTCGGGAACGACTAGCACATAAGCGTGAGGGGAACCTTTACCTTACCTTTACCTAGATAATTTAGCCGTAGTATTCTGCAATCCTATGCTTATCCTAAAGAAAATGAAATAATCTTTATTCTACACGCAAATAACATGTATGTTTTGACTTCAATAGGTTTTAAACAAAGGTTGCACTTAAAGAAAAGAAAAGATAGGATATTTAAACAAAAATGTCATCCCATCTTCCATGCACTTACTTTCTTATTGCATATATTTTGTCGAATTAAAAAAAACACACCACCGCTTTCTTATATTTCTGTAAATCTAAAAATATTTTGAAATAACTACATAGTCTAATACAACTCCCAGAACTCCTGGGAGAGGATGACTGTCTGGAGAATTCTGGGAGTTGAAGTCCGCAGGTCTTAAAGTTGCCCAGGTTGGACACACCTGGTCTAATGCTTAAAAAGGAATGCAGCTTGTAATTTAATCATTTTTAAACGAACTCCAGTTAGAGAGTCTTCCCGTGTTTATTGTAGACTTCTCTCCACATTCCTATCAGCAAATCGTTTTTTCTTTCTTTCTTGCCAATCTTTTTCTTTCTTTCTTTCTCTTCTTTTTTGACTTACCGTCTGTCCTCCGGTAAGTTGGTCAGGAGCCAGAGGCACTGATTTAAAAGTGAGTGGTTCCGGGGGCAGCTCCGGCAGCTCCAGGAAACCCGGGTCAGTTTTAGAATCTGCTGTCAGTTTTGTAAACAGGAGGCTGCTGAGTGAATTGAACAGAAGGGTGAGATTAGCATATTAATAAGGCTGTTGCTAATCGCCTACCCTCCCCCTTTCCTCCTCCCTTCAGCCCCCCTCCCCTCCCTCCAATGAATCTAGGAATAGAGACACTGGCAGTCACATTGCGGCTGGTTGGTCGCCTTCCTTCTGCCTGCTTGTCTAGGGAAAAAGGTGGCCTCGCCTTGAAACAATCGAAGCAGGAGAAGACCCTTGAAACGGAAAGACTATAAGCGCCTTGCTGCCCGATCGCCAAGGGAGGGGCTCGCTGCTGGAGAGGGGGAGTGAGGGTCTTTTCAGTTTTGGCTTACACCTCTGCACCAAAGTGAAGAAAAGGGACTAACCGGGATTCCTCCTGCTGCCGCAGCCACCGCCACCGCCACCGAGCCCTTTCAAGTGGCAGACTTCCCAGCCCTCCCCCAGGAGTCAATACTACTGGAGAGAGCTGAATTGGATCATTGTAACGCCGGAGCCTGGCACGACCCCTGCACAATTGTGTGTATGTGGCTCTTGGATTTGTCAGGGCAGCAGGCCCGGAAACAAGCAGGTGTTACGTATATGGAGAGGAGCGGCTGTAGCCCATTTCCAATATGCTGGGCTAAAGGTACCCGACTTTCAAGATTTTGTACATGTTTTCTGATTCTGCGTTCATTTCCCCATTGTTTTTGTGCATGTGTGATCCGAAGTTGGTGCTCTTGAGAGGAGAATGGGCATGAAATTGCAAACAAAGGGGCTATATACTCTGGCCATGTCATATATATTTCCCCCCCACTCACCTTATGATTAGAAACATTTTTTCTGTCTTCAGCGTAGAGAGCCAATGAATGGGAATTATTGTTCACTTCATGACTTCATTAAGAAAACAACCCTGATTCACCTAATGGATTTTCCATATATTTCAATATCCTTTAATAAAGACTTTTTAAATTATATTTGGGGGCAGGCTATGCAAACTACTTGACTCGAAAGTTGGCGAGTAGGTTGTAGTTGGTGCAGAATGAACTGCATGGCTGCCTCTGAAGAGGAATAAACCTGAGACTTGCTTTTCACCGAGGACAGGATGATCAAAGCTGACTTGAAACTGAAGTGGTGCAAAAACTTGGCTGCATGCTGTTGCCCAGATATTTCTTACTGAACTTAAGATAACTAAACACTCCGTTCTATAAAAGTACATTCATGTCCTAGTTAATAGTGAAGTATCAATGTCTTGTTTCTTTTTGGGTAAAATCTAAGGCAAAGATGATGGTAGCATTAATTTTAGGCTGAAAAATAGCCGGAAGACTTCTCTGGGATGACGATCAGGTGAAGTGGGGACAGTTTGTAGTCTCCCCTCCCCCCCCGGACAGTTGTCCAAGCATTATCTTTTCCCATGCCAACAGACAGCAAGAATATGGCAGTGCTTAGTTTGCAACATAATTGGAGGTTAAAAATGAGGAAGCCCACTGAGGACCTATTTAACTCCCTAGTGTGTAAATTATTCATCAAGTGTGCCCCAATGTGGTGGCGTATAAATTTAACGTATTCCAATTTTAGGTCCTGGCAGGACATTTTATAGTGGGCATCTCTCCCTCTCACTTTCTCCAAGAGCAGAGCTATAGGAAAGTGGTGATATCACTTCCCCTTGCAAGAGAGAGACCCTTCTTGGTTCCAGCCCTGACTTCCTTCAGAGGCCAGTGAGTGCCCATCAAGGCTTCCCAAGGGCTCCCGCAACCTTTTCTCTTCTGAAAGTGGGAAACTTCCCCCCCGAAGGAAGCAATGTTAGAACTTTTCCTTGCCTTACCTTCGGGGCAAGTAGAAATAGACACAGTGGAGTATCTGCTCTCCGCTACAGGAATTAGGATTTGGACACTAAGTTCAACAGCATCATACTTGGGCAGGGATCTTGGATAGCAGTCCGAGGGACAGAACAGTCTGAGATCTGTCAGAGTTGTTTCATTTTTATCCTCTGCTTCCTCTAGGGAACTAGATCCTTGCTCCTCATCCTCTACTACTGTTTTCATAACTCTTTCTCAAAGTAGTTTAAGGTGAGAGATAATTATTTTTCCAAGGTGACTTGATGACCTAGTTCTCGCTGCTTCAAATTGCTATGCCACACTGTTTCCTCAGTATTATATCATGCATTTACTGAATATTAAGCTCATTCTCTTTCTGTGCTGGAAGAATTAGCATTTTCAGATAATCTGTTAATGCATTTTTTCCTGGATGTTTGCTGTATTTTAGAATTATCCCAATATGTACTGAGATCGTGCAGCAATCTAAAATGATGCCCAGCCTAAATATGTACTCTCAACCTCAGTAAAGTGAGACAGATTTGTTACAGGTTATGCTCAAGAAGAGCAGGCACTTAGGTGTGCTCCACGCTCAGTGCATGTCACATCTCTGTCCCATGAGCTGCACTGACTGCCAGTATGCTTCTGGGTTCAGTTCAAGGTGCTGATTCTGACCTCTAAAGACCTTCATGACATGGGGTCAGGTAATTTGAAAGACTGTCTCTCCCCAATTATATCTACCTGTCCCCCAGGTAGTTCTGGCAGAAGAGGCATGCTCTCTTGGTCTCATCTTTGGAGAAAGGCCCAGCAAACTCACCTTTTCTCTCATGGTTTTTGCTATTCAGAATATCATTCCGCCCTCAAGGAAAAAATTATCCTCAACCCTGTCACCATTTTGTAAGGTCACTGGGCCTGGGGATCAGGAGATATGATGAGTTTGCTTTTACCTTGGTTGCAATTTATATGTTTGTTGTTGTTGCTTGTTTTTTTAAAAAATGCTGTTCTTAATTATTATCCCAAAGGTGCTTTTTCAAAAGGCAAATGGACTTTGTTTGTCCTTGAAGATGCTTCATTTCTCATCCAACAAGCTACTTCAGTTCTGGCTGAAATGTGGAGGATGGAGGGATTTATATTTCTTATAGTCATCTGGTTGTTACAGAGGGAGAGGAATACGACACCGTCTATCTCCTATTTATGACAGTCCTTTCAGCAGTTCCAAGAAAGTTCCATACACATTTTGCTGTTCAGGTGATTCTGAGGGCACAGATAAACCTCCAAGTCAGTGATGGCAAACCTATGGCATGCGTGCCACAGGTGGCACATGGAGCCCTCTCTGCCGGCACGTAAACCATCGCCCCAGCTCAGCTACACAACGCATGCCCGTGCACCTCCCCGTGGACAGCTGATTTCCGGGTCTCTGCCGTGCATGTGTGGTGTGGGGGGCGGGATGCATGTGGTGGTCGTGTGTGCATGCACAGGGGGGGTGCCCCTCCTGTGCCTCATTTTTGGTCCCAGAAGGCTGCAGGGAGTCACAAAAGTTAGCCATCATTGCTCTAAGTGGCCTCATTGAGTCTCACAAAAAGTGCTAATGACCAGATGGTTTCAAGGAATATAAATCCTTCCATCCTCTACCATTCAGTCAGAACGGAAGAAATTTCTTGGATAAGAAGTGAATCTTCAAGGAAAAAATAAAATCCAGTTGTCTTTTGAAAAAGCACCTTCAG